GCAAACCATGGCAGGGGAGAAATGGGATGGAGACGGGGGAATGGGACCTGTTTAATGAGCTGGGATGAAGCTTGGAATATGGCACAGTGAAAAGAACCATGTAATGTGGTCGCCAGCCGGCTGGCGAGAGGCTCACGGGGGACGAGGCAGCACGAGCGTCTCAGGCAGGTCCGCAGCGCCCGACCCGTTTCTCTCCCTGCGCAGGCCAGACAAAGCGGCCAGGAGGAAACCACCCTCTTTCCTCCCTCCCTCCCGCCCTTCCTTCCTTCCTTCCTGCCATGCCCCGAGCAAACTTCTGATAGCCAAGTCCCTGAAATATAAAAAGAGGGAGAAAAACCAGCGCGCTAACGCGAGCTGACAGCGCAGACGGGCTCGCCGGGGCCGTGGGGCTGAGCCCGTGCTCCGCTCCGAGCTCCCCTCCGCGGTTAAAGCATCCGCTTGGCTCTTGTCCCGCGGCTGTAGCCTCCCCCAGGCTCTGCTCCGGCGTGGGCGCAGTTAAAAGCATTTTAGCGCATTTCTCAGAGTGCTTTTACATATCCCACAGTAATCCCGCTCGCCGGATTTGGGACTGGAGTCGCAGGAGTGTTTATGGCTAGGGCGGATTTGCAGCCCCATTATTTTCCGAGGGAAGCCTCAAAACCTGTTTAGGAAGCGGAGGCACCGCAGGGTGGGAAGACGCGTTCCAGGCACGAGCTGCCTCCATCGCTTCGTGCTCTCTTTCCTTTGGGGTCTGGGATTGAGGGAGGAACGCACGCGGCCTCTCCTCCTCCGCCCGCCTGGCCGGATGGCCGGGAACAAAATAGCAACGTCTGGCCGGGCCATCCGCGAATTCCTCCAGCCTTTAATAGTCCTCGGCGCCCGCGGTCGCGGGAAGCCCTGGAGGCGGGGGGGATGAATCAGTTTTTCCTGCTGCCAGCGCTGCGCAGGCCTCTCTTTTTGTGGTGTAACTAACTGCCCCAAGTTTTCCTGCCCCTCCAGTATTTCTTATATATATATATACATATATGAATATATATGTATATATATAATTATTATTTTTTTCTCTTTTTTTAATGGCTCTATTCCAAATTCTCCTGGCTACAAAGCCTCTGCTTAAAGAGCTCCATCGCTTTCCTGCTGGACGAGCAGCGCAAGCAGCGCAGTGGCTCCCAGGTCAAACGTTTAGACCCGCTTTCTGCTTCCTAGCGGGAGAAAGGAGTTTGCAGGCTGCTGTTCTTCATTGCGCTGGCACCAGCTCTGAATTTCACGTGGCTCTCAAGGTGTCTTGGCCACAAACTAGCCCAGGGCCATAGGGAGAGCTGGAGCCGGAGGGAGCTTGGCTCTTCGCAGGAGAGAGGGTGCTCTCCAAAGCTCCTTCTGCTCCGCTTGCATCCCAGGTTATGCCAGGAAAACACTTGGAATTGCAAAAGCAGAGGGTGCGGGGCAGGGAGGGAGAGGAGAATTAGCCCTTATTCCAAATCCTCTGTTTAACAGCTGCTGCATCCCAGGCAAATATTTGCAAGCGGGTTAATAATTTGCTCAGGTGCCTTTGATTGCCGTGGCAGGGTGTTGCCTGGCTCCGCTGGGATGTTCCCCCTGTGCTGTTGAAGCTTTGCTGATCCAAGGGTCGGCAGGCAGTAACAAGCATGGAGGAGATGTGATTTTTCCGCCCGGTCCACCAGGTGCCTTCAGCGGGCTGTTTCCCTCCCGGCCGCCGTGTGCCAGGCTGCTCTCCATGCCGTCACGCATGTGCCGGTGCTTCGTCTTCCTTTTGTGCCGAGCCGGAGCCACCACACCGCTTTCCTGAGCTCCCGGCTTCGGTAGCAGGAGCCCGGAGCAGGAGGGCCTGAGGGAGAAGGGTTTTGGTGGAAATCAGAGTGTGGAGCAGGGCTCGGAAGGGAGCGCGGGCAGCTGTGGGGCAGGGACGCTGCCCGTGACGCTCCCCCACTTATGTGCACCAAGGGAGAGCAGTGCGGAGCCCTGGGACACGGCAGCGAGGGTCACTTTGGGGCCACTGTGGGAGCGAGGTCTGTCCTGGGGCCTGTCCGTCCATTTGGGAAATACCCATGTTAGGTCCGGTTTTCGAATTGATGGAGAAAGAGGCAAACACCATCGATATATTGTGCTTTTTAATAATAGGAGAAAGATAATAAGTATTACCAGCTAGCTGGGGTCCGGGCTTTCCCACACAGGGGTCACACCACGGACCTCGACTGCTTCAGTCGTCCCTCTTTTATACCGTTCTTACCCCAAAAATGTTCCCCCTCCCGTTTTCCTGTTCTGCTTTCATGTCAATGTTATCTATATTTTATTGCTGACTGGGACCTCTGGATAAGCAACCCCTTCATGCAGAATGTCCTGACCTGCCATATATCAGGAGTCCTTGCAGATAGGTAACCCCTCCATGCAGAGCCACCTGTCTTGCCAATTATCAAGAGTCCTTGCACATTGAGACTAAGTATTGACACTCTACATTAACTATTTAATCCCTACACCACGCAGTAAAGGGCCTGCGGGGGTTATGCTGTGAGGCCTCCTCTGCCCTTGCACAGCCTGTGAGCTAGCAGAGGAGTCTTTGTCTGCCAAATGACACGGATATGCCAGCTCTGAAACTTGGGAGCGACTCCCTGGGCCCAGCGCCCATGGGCCACTGCTGGTGTGGGAGAAATTCCCTGGATTGCAACTGGCTGCGGGGGGAACAATCTGGGCGGCGCAGGGAGGCCCC